TAGATAAGCAATTATATTTATAGTAGTAGTATTCAGAAATTCTTACAATTTACAATACAATTTTCAAAAATGGATAAAGACTAATAGCCAAGTCTTGATATCATGCAGGGAGAATATACATAGATAAGCAATTATATTTTTATAGTAGTATTTTCAGAAATTCTTACAATTTACAATACAATTTTCAAAAATGGATAAAGACTAATAGCCAGTCTTGATATCATGCAGGGAGAATATACATAGATAAGCAATATATATTTATAGTAGTAATTCAGAAATTCTTACAATTTACAATACAATTTTCAAAAATGGATAAAGACTAATAGCCAAGTCTGATATCATGCAGGAGAATATACATAGATAAGCAATTATATTTTATAGTAGTAGTATTCAGAAATTCTTACAATTTACAATACAATTTTCAAAAATGGATAAAGACTAATAGCCAAGTCTTGATATCATGCAGGGAGAATATACATAGATAAGCAATTATATTTTATAGTAGTAGTATTCAGAAATTCTTACAATTTACAATACAATTTTCAAAAATGGATAAAGACTAATAGCCAAGTCTTGATATCATGCAGGGAGAATATACATAGATAAGCAATTATATTTTATAGTAGTAGTATTCAGAAATTCTTACAATTTACAATACAATTTTCAAAAATGGATAAAGACTAATAGCCAAGTCTTGATATCATGCAGGGAGAATATACATAGATAAGCAATTATATTTTATAGTAGTAGTATTCAGAAATTCTTACAATTTACAATACAATTTTCAAAAATGGATAAAGACTAATAGCCAAGTCTTGATATCATGCAGGGAGAATATACATAGATAAGCAATTATATTTTATAGTAGTAGTATTCAGAAATTCTTACAATTACAATACAATTTTCAAAAATGGATAAAGACTAATAGCCAAGTCTTGATATCATGCAGGGAGAATATACATAGATAAGCAATTATATTTTATAGTAGTAGTATTCAGAAATTCTTACAATTTACAATACAATTTTCAAAAATGGATAAAGACTATAAGCCAAGTCTTGATATCATGCAGGGAGAATATACATAGATAAGCAATTATATTTTATAGAGTAGTATTCAGAAATTCTTACAATTTACATATACAATTTTCAAAAATGGATAAAGACTAATAGCAAGTCTTGATATCATGCAGGGAGAATATACATAGATAAGCAATTATATTTTATAGTAGTAGTATTCAGAAACTTTACAATTTACAATACAATTTTCAAAAATGGATAAAGACTAATAGCCAAGTCTTGATATCATGCAGGGAGAATATACATAGATAAGCAATTATATTTATAGTAGTAGTATTCAGAAATTCTTACAATTTACAATAACAATTTTCAAAAATGGATAAAGACTAATAGCCAAGTCTTGATATCATGCAGGAGAATATACATAGATAAGCAATTATATTTTATAGTAGTAGTATTCAGAAATTCTTACAATTTACAATACAATTTTCAAAAATGGATAAAGACTAATAGCCAAGTCTTGATATCATGCAGGGAGAATATACATAGATAAGCAATTATATTTTATAGTAGTAGTATTCAGAAATTCTTACAATTTACAATACAATTTTCAAAAATGGATAAAGACTAATAGCCAAGTCTTGATATCATGCAGGGAGAATATACATAGATAAGCAATTATATTTTATAGTAGTAGTATTCAGAAATTCTTACAATTTACAATACAATTTTCAAAAATGGATAAAGACTAATAGCCAAGTCTTGATATCATGCAGGAGAATATACATAGATAAGCAATTAATTTTTATAGTAGTAGTATTCAGAAATTCTTACAATTTACAATACAATTTTCAAAATGGATAAAGACTAATAGCCAAGTCTTGATATCATGCAGGGAGAATATCATAGATAAGCAATTATATTTTATAAGTAGTAGTATTCAGAAATTCTTACAATTTACAATACAATTTTCAAAAATGGATAAAGACTAATAGCCAAGTCTTGATATCATGCAGGGAGAATATACATAGATAAGCAATTATATTTTATAGTAGTAGTATTCAGAAATTCTTACAATTTACAATACAATTTTCAAAAATGGATAAAGACTAATAGCCAAGTCTTGATATCATGCAGGGAGAATATACATAGATAAGCAATTAATTTTATAGTAGTAGTATTCAGAAATTCTTACAATTTACAATACAATTTTCAAAAATGGATAAAGACTAATAGCCAAGTCTTGATATCATGCAGGGAGAATATACATAGATAAGCAATTATATTTTATAGTAGTAGTATTCAGAAATTCTTACAATTTACAATACAATTTTCAAAAATGGATAAAGACTAATAGCCAAGTCTTGATATCATGCAGGGAGAATATACATAGATAAGCAATTATATTTTATAGTAGTAGTATTCAGAAATTCTTACAATTTACAATACAATTTTCAAAAATGGATAAAGACTAATAGCCAAGTCTGATATCATGCAGGGAGAATATACATAGTAAGCAATATATTTTTTATAGTAGTAGTATTCAGAAATTCTTACAATTTAAAATACAATTTTCAAAAATGGATAAAGACTAATAGCCAAGTCTTGATATCATGCAGGGAGAATATACATAAGAAAGCAATTATATTTTATAGTAGTAGTATTCAGAAATTCTTACAATTTACAATACAATTTTCAAAAATGGATAAAGACTAATAGCCAAGTCTTGATATCATGCAGGGAGAATATACATAGATAAGAATTATATTTATAGTAGTAGTATTCAGAAATTCTTACAATTTACAATACAATTTTCAAAAATGGATAAAGACTAATAGCAAGTCTTGATATCATGCAGGGAGAATATACATAGATAAGCAATTATATTTTATAGTAGTAGTATTCAGAAATTCTTACAATTTACAATACAATTTTCAAAAATGGATAAAGACTAATAGCCAAGTCTTGATATCATCAGGGAGAATAT